TTAACGAGTACAACATTTGACAACCAGGTGGAATACCGGGCTTCAGAAATAAAATTTGCCTCTAGGAGGTCTTTTACAGCTTTTTCAGCAGCCTCCATTTTTTCTGGAGACTGCCTACGCCTACGTTGTACTACGGCCCTAGCAGCTGGATCAATGGCGAGGTGGTGACAGGCGACCTCAGGGTCGAGTCCGGGCATCTCCGCGGCGCTCCAGGCGAACAGATCAGCATTCTCGCGCAAGCAGACCTTGATTTGCTTCCTGGCCAAGTCGGGGAGGTCTTTGCCAATCTTCACTCCCTTGGTCGGATCTGTGCCAAGGGGGACGAGTTCAAAATCCCCGTCCGGTATTGGTCGGAGTGGGATTTGCTCGCCGCTGGATGGCTCGTCCTGGTCGAAGCGAGTGTCCAGAGCTATAGAATCGACCTTTGATGGAGCCTTCTGGACTTCTTCCTCGGGGGATGCTTTCTTGTCGGGCTCCTGTCTTGTCCTTTTGGCGGGTCTGGTCCCTACGTCGACAGTATCACGTCCCTTAGAAGCGGTGTTGAAGCACCTGCGGGCAGCGGCTAGGTCTCCTTGGATAGTAGTTACTCGTGCCCTCTTGGTGTAGAACTTCATCTTTAGGTGGACGGTCGAGGGTACCGCCGTCAGCTTTGCCAGTGTCGGTCTCCCCAAGATGCAGTTGTATAGAGACGGGCAGTCGTTGACTAGGAAGCGTACTTTGACTTGTCTTGTAGCCGTCCCTTCCTCGAACGTAACCAGAAGCTCGACATATCCCCAGGGCTTGGAGGTCGAGCCGTTGAAACCTTGTAAGTCTGAACCCACATATGGCGAAAGATGTGAGTCGTCCAGCTGAAGGGTTCGGAATAGTTGACTGTACATGACGTCGACGGAACTCCCTTCGTCGACCAGGATGCGATGTACATCAAAATTGGCCATTCTTGCCCTTATCAGTAAGGGGATGACCGCGTTCGGGGCTCCGCCGGGGAGTTCTTCCAGGTAGAAGGTGATGGGCTCTGACCTGCCCTTCACCCTTTCGAACGTCACTATTTGTGGGGGAGCTGCGTCGACCAGTTCGTCCAGCTTCCTCTTGGCTGAATTGATGGTCAAGTTGTTGAACCCGCCGCCGTTGATGACCAGGGCGGAGGGGAAGTATTCCCACCTGCTGTGCGTTGTAAGTGGCTCTTGCAGGTGCTTGGGGAAGTCGAAATCCTCGGGCCTGGTCACGGAGAAGGCAGTTTGGATGGGCACCGACTCGTCAGATGGTCGGGCGTCTTCTTCTGGCTCCCTGGTTTCTTGGGCGTCACGACGGGGAGCGTCGCTTCGCCGGTACTGCGCGAGCCTCCCTCCCTTGATGAGGGTTTCAATGGCGTCCTTGAGGTGGACGCAATCCTCAGTCAGGTGACCATGGCTCCGATGGTACTGACAATATTTGTTTTTGTCTGCTCCGGGCTTGGCGGGAGCAGGTCGGGGACGTTTGACACCGCCGTCCTTGAAATCAGTGTTGGCACACTCCGCCAGAATGCGCTCGCGGGAAGCCGTGAGTGGAGTGTACTCGGTGAAACGCCCTGAAGGTCCTCTTTGTTCCCGGACTTCCCGGGGTCTGTCTTCCTTCCTTTTCTCCCCGGTTCGTCGAGGAGGAGCTTCTTGGCGCGAGCTGCTGTTGGGACCACGAGTCCTGGAATCTCGGGCTCTGTTGGCCGCTTCCCTTTCCTCGTAGTCCATGTATGCTCGGGATTTTTCGAGGAGGGCATCGAATGTCCGAGGTGGCTCGATACCCACAGCCTTCCTGAATTCCGTGCCGGGGAGGAGCCCTCTCTCCAGCAAATATCTTTTCATATGGTCCGCACAGGGGACCTGTATTGCTTCCTGGTTGAAACGGTTGATGAATTCCCTCAAGGTTTCATCCTGTCTTTGGATGATGGCCTCGAGAGTCGCCTCGGTCTTCGGGTGCCGCCGAGAAGCTGTGAAGGAACTGATGAACTGGTTCTTCAGGTTCCGCCACGAGGTAATTGAGCCCGGGGCGAGTCCTTTGTACCAGTCCATTGCCTCCTTCCCGAGAGTCGTTGGGAATAGACGGCACTTGATGGGGCCCCCGACATTGTGATAATGGAGCATGGCCTCGAACCCGTCTATATGGTCGACCGGGTCCGTGACTCCATCATACTCCTTTAAGTGAGGGGGCTTCTCCATGCCCGGGGGGATGGGTGCCTCCATAATAGCCTGTGACAGGGGACCGCGGGGGTCGTCCTCGTCGCTTCTCTCCGGAGATAAAGATGGGGACCTGTAATACTGTCTGGCACGTCGGTCCAGGTCGTGCTGAGTCTCTCTCGAGCGGGATGCTCGGTGGTTGAATTTTACATGTCCGTCTCCGGAGTGCCTTCTTTCTAGTATCGCCGGGTCACGACTGGGTTCTCCGGCCTGAATGATGGGTTGCCTCTCCAGATAAGGCCGTTTCTGTTTTGGCCGGGGAGATTGGCTTCGAGAGGTCTCCCTGTAATGTCTCCGCGGGGGAGATGGATGTCGAGCTTCAGTCACTCGAGGAGGGGGGGTATGTGGTCTCCGATGCCTCCTCGGGGGTCTTCGCTCGTCTTCAAGCGCCTTTAGTCTCTCTCCTTGGGCGAAGATGAGATAGTTCGTTTGATTAATTGCTGCGAACAGCGCTTGTGTTGTGGCATCTGCCCCGGAGGGGACGGGGACCTCCTGGAACCGGGCGGCTCTGTAGTGCGCGAGGGCCGCCGGGTCGTCTTCGAGTGGTGGTGGGAGCGAGGAGGATGATGCAGTAGCTCCGTCCCTGTAGGAGGAAGTTCCGGGGGCGGTTGTCGCAGGAATGGTGATGTGGCCGGGATTGCCGGCGTTATCAAGGTGTCAGTTTTTGTCCGCGGCGCCATTGTTAGTGTCGACGACACGGACGTTCTGCTCATCGCGAGCTTGATCAGCCATGACAGGTAGTTGAATTTGAGCTTTGGTCTTTGAGTTTGCAAGACGGGGAAGCTAGTTTCCCACAGACGGCGCCACTGATCTGAGGTGATCAGACTTGGACCGTCACGGCTGGCTCTGAGCTGAAGTTTTGAACGAGGTGGAGGGGGGTACCTGCAAGACACTCCGATGCTGAAGTAAGTAAGAGCACGAGCAGGCAATAGTAAGAGTATGGGTAGAATGATGAATACCTGACCCTCTGGAAACAGAGGGTATTTATAGCCCCCAGCGCTGGGCCAAGGTCCCTTCATTGGGCCGGGCAGGTTTGGCCCAATGAAGGAACTGCCAAGTTCTACGTGTGTAGTGGAGACCCGCACGTGATCTCCTTCCTGGATGTGCTGCGTGAAGTGCGGACGAACGAGGACGCGGTCTTTTCGAAACCCAGGTGAGGGTGCAGTGGACTGAGTCTGCTCTAGGAGGGGTGCTCGAGGTGAGGTCGAGCTGGACAGTAGGAGGTCGAGCAAGTAGTCCCAGAGAGTACGTCGGGCACGACTGTGATCCTTTGGTCGGCGTGTCCCCCAGCAAGTCTGTTTGGATTGGGCCTTATCAATGCTATTGGGTCAGCCGGGCCCTGTCCAGAACAATATATATATATATATATATATATATATATAGAGAGAGAGAGAGAGAGGTGGACGCGTGCAATGCAAATTTTAAAAAAGAAATTGAAGCTAAGGTTGTTAAAATGAGTTGAGTTTAAAGATGTCAATTTTTGTTTGATGCTAATCAGTTTATATGTTTTTAAATTTAAATATTTCTAATTTTAGTCTTACTTTTTAGAGAAAAGAGATGATCTATTGATAGTGTAAATTAATTTTACACTATCAACAAATGACAATCATGCATCAGCACAAGTCAGACTGAAAATTTTAAAAAAATTATATAATATATCAGAATGATATAACCTTATTGGATGACGGTGTAAATTTTTTTACACTTTTAGTGCATGATCATTGAACCCTACTTTTTAATTGATTATTTCTTACAAAAAAAAGTGCAGTTGTAACTACTATACCAATTATTTCCCTTCTCTAAAAAGAAACTGTTTTAATTACCATTATTTTCTCACCCAAAAAATTATTTCAATTCTCATCAATTAAAATTCTTTTATTTTATTACTAATTTATTTTTTGAAAGAGAAAATTTATATTCTTCTTATAAATATAATGAAAATAAATAATTAATTATAATTATTTTCTATAAATATTATTAGTCTTTTCCAAATATGAAATTTGATAATGTGTTTTAAGATTGTTTTTTACTAAATATATGTCTTTTTTTAAGTATGGTTAAAGTATAATATGAGCCCAAATATATATTTTTTTAAAGTATAATATTATTTAAATAATATCATATTTTTTAACTGAAAATTAAATTTAAAATTTAAATTAATTTTACATATTTTTTAATCATATCTTTTTTAAATTAAGATAATTTAAAAAATAATTACATTACACTTGAAATTGAAAAAAATTTGAAAACTAAATCATATTACAATTTATGATGGTACAATAAATCAAATTTCACAAAAATCAATCACTTTATGATGTTTCTTCCTAGACTTCATTACTAAAATAAAGTTTCCGCTATTTTCTATAATTAAATTTAAAAAATAAACTATACATTTTATTATAAATACGAATCAATGCTTATAAGTTGTTACATATTATTAATTTATATTTATAATCATGTGAATGTTAACAAATTGAAAAATAAATTCAATTTTATAAATGATAATTTAGTAGACGTGTAATGTGAACCCAAACAGATCCCGTGCGATAGCACGGGTTTCTTACTAGTTGTTATAAAAATAAAAGAACTTAATTAGAAGAAAGAAAATATAATGGAAAAATCCAAACTATAGTAACAAAAAAGTGCAATTAAACATGAAATGATCATGATTTGGTACATAACTTAGTCAACATAAGCAAGACGAGCACCAGCGTGGCTGTAAAGAAAGACCAATAAGGTGTGTTTTCCATTAATCTGCATAGGACAATGTGCACCACAAACATAAAATACAAATCACTTCCATAACTTCCTCAAAGACATGTTTTTCTCTGTCTCCTTCTTCATGACCTTGGCCACAGCCATCTCAAAATCCTCCTGGGTCACATGTACCCTCCTCTCCCTCAAAGCAAACATTCCAGCTTCTGTGCATACAGCCTACATAAGAGCATAGAAAATTGAATATCAACCTGGTTAATACACACTTCAAATAAAACGGCTGGCTACCAACATTATTAACAAAATAATTACAGTAGTTTTTTCCCACCATCTTCCCTATAGTGAATAATGCTTTGCTATGTTGTTTGGTGGCTCATTATCATGTGCATACACTTGTGAGACATATAAACCGAGTTGAACATACACCAATTTTACTGTTTAATTTGATTATATCAAGAGACTCAAGATGCAGATTCCATTTGATCAACTCACTCCTACTATTATCACATTATGTAAGCATATAATAGTTCTCAAGGGTGGACCAAAAAGCCAGAGATTGAGAAATATTCTATTAATAGTCGTACTTTGAAGATGTACAACAAAAACAATTTTAATAAATCATATTCTTGGAAGTGCGTATAAACAAAAGTAATTTCTTCAAGGATTCATGAATTTTAATGTGTGTGCATGTGTGCGTAAGTAACTGTACGTAAAGTGAAATAGCAGTAAAAAGTGAAATAGCAATTGATAGGCTAACTGATTTTAAAGCAACAAATGCAATTGTTCTTAAATAACCTAGGTTTACGCGCCGAACCCCTAAAATGCTATAGCAGCATAGCGGAAAGCAGGACGACCGCTATTGTGAAGATTAAAAAACAACGTACATAGTAAACATAAATTCCAACAACATACATAAATACTTTAAAATAGAAATTGCAACATCACATATCCCATTAAAATGAGTTCCCATCAAAATCAATTGATATTAATCCCAGACATTAAAGCATCAGTAGCAGAGGCAAACAATGAAGAAGCAGGAGAAGAATGCAGAAGACATCGCAGGGGAGAACGGTGTAGGAAAAGAAGGAAAAAAAAGGTGAAACTAAAGCATAACACAAGGGGTTATTAGAACAATAAAAAGGTGGGAAAGGCCAACTACCCTTAAAAAAAATTCCGTTTCAAATTATTAGGGGTTACGATTTTGCTCCAAAAATTGAGAATAGTGGCCATTAAACCACGATGGCACCGCTGTGGCGCCACCATAGTGCTGCTACGATATAGCGCATTTAGCGACCATTATGACCACATAAGTGCTTCGCAGACCAATAGTGTAGTGGTGAGGGGCTGTGCCACTACACTATGCCGCTATAGCTATAGTGCACTATTGACAACCTAGTAAATAACCTTCCTAGTTTCTCGTTCCAAAAAAATCCTTCCTAGTTTCTTTCCTAATAAGTTTGTGTGATAGAAAATATGAAGTTGAAATGTGGGGGAAGGGAGCCACTGCCCATGCCTGCCCTCCAATTCCAATTGGCTAATTCGACCTAATTTTGTGAGATTCAGTAGCACCATATATAGCCACAAAGTGTTCTGAAACAGTGATTCAGGACTGAAAAAACAGACTTAAGGGCAGGCCATCCTTGCAAACCTTGAATAGGAAAACAAAAACAAAACCTTATCATGTTTTTGCTTTGCTTCCTTTGCAGCACTAACTACTTTTACCAAAAGGTGTCAAACTTTCAACAGCTTTGTATAAGACAAATTAAACCAATCCAACAGTTATGTCCTCTCGAAATTTTCACTTCTCATTTTCTCTCTTTCATTTCTTACTTATATTTTCTCCATAACCTTTTTATCTATATCTCATTTGCTCCTCCTTCCCTTTACTATTATTTTCTCCGCATTCTCTCTACTTTTTCTATATTATTTACTTATGTTTTTTAAAGATAACCTTTTCTATTATAAAATTTGTCTATGTTTTTTAAAATTTAAAAATAAATAAGCACGTGTTGTACATCTTATTTTCAAAGCTGACACCCCTAGTGAAGCCAATCAAGATGGGCAATGGATGCAATTTGGCTCTCGCGAGATAAACAGACATATGTTTCAGTTAATTTCAAACTGAAACACACTATTTGGACACTAACAAAACACATTAATGTTGGATAAAACTTTTAGTTCTGTTTTACATTGTAAAATTTCTCTAAAACCTTATTCATCAAACAAAGTGAATGATTATGCGTTGCATGTTGGGAATACTAAATGAAAATGAAAGGCACCGATTACATCAATGAGTGCAAACAGAGAAATTCTTTACCACCAATAATTGCTTCAACAGAGTAAAAGACCTTTAACTCGGCGGGAAAGAAAAAAATGCAGTGCTAATTAAGAACATACCTTTAACTCGGCACCAGATGCTCCATTCATCTTCTCAGCAATCTTCTTCAAGTCAATCCCACGCATTAAATTCATTCTTCTTGAATGGATTTTCAAGATATCCCGGCGAGACTGCATTATAATAAATACAGTCGGTCATTTTCAGGACTTACCAAGTACGTTGAAGGAATATCTTTTTTCTTTGTACAATCATATATCATATATAAGGGCTACACAGAGACAAAGATGCAAACCTCTTCATTAGGGTTTGGAAATTCAATCTTTCTGTCAATCCGTCCAGGTCTCAAGAGTGCTTGATCTAGGATATCAATCCGATTGGTGGCCATCAAAACCTATAATTGCAAATTTCTGTTCAGATCTTCCTCTTAATTGAGAGCGTATAACTCAAATGATTCATATGGAATTAATAATACATGTCCATCTGTTACGGATTTATATTTACTGCAGAACACTGCCAGTTTTTGAAGTCCCTCTAATAAACTATTATAGTATCATTATAAAATAAATAACCTTGATCTTATTCGAAGCTTCAAATCCATCCAACTGGTTTAGAAGTTCCAACATAGTACGCTGCACCTCACTATCACCATTGCCACTTCCAGATTCCATTCGGGCTGATCCAATACTGTCAATTTCGTCCATGAAGATAATTGATGGAGCATGCTCCCTGTGAAAAAAGGCAAAGCATTACACCATAATACATAATATTGGTTAAGCAAGCCTTCAGATTGCATATTCTGTCTTAGTACATTAGCTGGGCAAGGAAACTTGTGAATCAAAATTGTGAGGCCTAGTTTTTTTCAAAGATAAAAATGTCCAGTTAATCTTTTCAGAGGCCAGTGAGTGGAAATTGGGGGAAAAAAACATACAAAATAGGTACACTGAATTACAGTCATATCGTTTATACAATTGGTTGAACGTTGTGATTTATAGGTTATTTTGGCCATGTATTATGATTTTTGTACTCGTGTCTGTCTATGAGCAAAATTACAATTATGCCCTTCGTTAGGATCTTATGTGCCGTGCTACAATCCTAGTTTTACAATCTTTCTCATCCTTCCAATCCTACTTAAGATCTCATGTTTGACTATATTGACTGCGTATCTGTGTTCATCCTAGGTTAAGTTTACTTGTGCCCAACAGATATATATTTAGCCATAAAGGTCATGGAAATCAAGACATATTTTTCTCCCTATTACTTATGCTGTGAGGGAACAAACAATGAGTGGGTGAAGTTGAGTGAAGAGGTCAAACCTGGCCATAACGAAAAGTTCCCTGACCATTCTTGAACCTTCTCCAATGTATTTCTGAACTAGTTCAGAACCAGACACCCTGATGAATGTACAATCAGTGTGATGTGCTACTGCCCTAGCCAACAATGTTTTTCCGGTACCAGGCGGCCCATAGAGAAGGACACCCTGTGATATGTAAAAGAGAGTAAGCAAACATAAATATTAGCAGCAACTATGCTGACAGAGGATGGAAAATTCAGCCATAACTCAGGAAATTACCTTTGGTTGAGCTATTCCAAGACTTTCAAACAGCTCAGGATGTTTAATTGGAAGCTCAATGACCTGTAAATTTGATCACATGCATGAGACCAAAAAAGGGTAATGAATTTTCAAATACTAGTACCAAAAGAATGCCATGCAACTTGCCTCTTTTATTTCTTTGATTTGCTGGTCTAAACCACCAATCATGTCATATGTAGAATCAGGAACTTTCTCAACTTTCATCAGATTGACCAATGGATCAACTTTGCTTGGAAGAACTAAATGAAGCACATAACTGTCATTGCGGAGAGCAACTCTAGTAGATGGCGTGATCTTCGTGATGTCAATATTTTTGTCGATATCAACAACATATTTCCCTTCCGGATGGACCTGAATAAAAGTAATGGCAAACTCAGTACCTTGTCAAGGATTTTTTGTTCTTGTTTTATTAATTTCATACACTGATGAATATTGTATGCCATTAGATATAGTCATGAGTTTATGACTAACAGGAAAATGAAGAATGGATATTAGTCATTATTAGAGTGATTTTACTGGAATAGAACTTCCATGGGCCATCGAAACTCAGCAATATTTTAGAACAGAAATTTTCACTTTGCATTTAAGAAAGACTACAATGTATAATTCCAAATATGAACAAAAATATTTAGATTAATCAATAAGGGGATTAGAAGTGCAGAGTTGTAGATCAATAAATAGATGAAACACTAAAGCCAGTGAATCAGATGATGCACTTATCCTTCAAATAATATTCTGGTCGAGTAAATGAAATAATTTCACAAGACCGTGACAATTGATGGTTCAAAGCCCAAGCTTAAGCCTCAAACAACATTCATACTCATTACCAGAGTGAGGTACAGATGATAGCAACAATGAATAATGAAGATAAAGACAGAGATGTCAAGTCAAACAGATGATAATGATAGATTGATATTATAGCAGTAAAGTGTGGGGAAATTTTTTGATACAAATTAGAACGGAAAATTAGCTGACCTTGACCAACACTTTGTTCTTGCCCATAACTTTGACAACTTCACCAACATATGAGCCAGGCTCTTGAAGAAGCTGCAGCTCTTCACGAAGCATCCTCACTGTCCGAATTACAATTGAATCAGGGACATATCCAGAAATTAATTTTTTAGTGCACAAAATCATTTGACAAGGACATTGAAAATATATGATATAACTTCAATACACCATATGCTAGAAGGTGTATAAGTCATTGTGTATAAAAGTGATATAGCACACAGAGCCCAACTGATTTTACAGCAAAAGAAAAAGCATTGGTTCTTTAATAACCTTCTTAATAAGTTTGATGTAATAGAAATTAAGTATTTTGAAAAGTAGATGGAGGAGCGCCAGGTCTGGCATCTACTGTGTATATTATATTACTTATTTGATAAATCACTAATTTATTCAACAGCTTGATTTAATTATCATTATTCATCAATAATGTGATGTATATATCAAAATGTGATCATTTGTGTTTACGACTTTGAGAAAACACTTCTTAGAGGGCAACATTCCTTGCAAAACTATAGACTTCAATAACACAATCTCAGATAAAAAAATAAAAACAAATAAAACATTATCCTTGTTTAGCTTTTTTTTCCATCCCAAACCCACTACCCATGCTAGCCACACCCAAATCCACATAAAGACGGGTGTTTGTCAATGACTAAGTCACCCTCACCACTGTATACCACTCTTGATTCCTCCTATACGATTGATCTCTAACTAGCATCCATCCTTGCAGAAATCCACATTACCCAACCATCCTCCCAACCATAACCTTCTCTTACCAATTGAACAATAATAGTAGAAACAAAAGAAAGAACAACTTATTGAATAAAAAAAAGAGAATTAGAGCTAGAGTTAACGAACCCCTAGAATTGAGCTCGTTACGTTGAGCCTCGAGACGATTAAGATTATGAGTCTTTTGACGGAGAAGGAGTTGTAGCTCATGGATGTGCTGAGTATAGTACTGTCGAAGACCCTCGCCCTGCTTGGTTAGCTTGGCAGAGCAATGCTCCTCTGGTGCACCATCCGCACGCTTCACTTCTACTCCAACAGCAGCCATAGATCAAGCACTTCCCTCTGATATATAAAGCAATTTATTTCAAACACACAACATGGTACAAACTCATCAAAAGATTCAGAACCAGAAAATAGAAAAGTGTGAACTCTGAACCCTATTCCTAAAAATCAGATTCTGAATCATAACCTAACAACCCTAATTTTTGTTTACCCCAAATTCCGAAAGAATCATAGGGAAATTGAGAAACCTACCTTTAGAAATTCAGCGTAGATTCTTGTTGTTGTTCTCTTCTTCGGTAGCGATGAGATTGTGTTGTGAGCGTGAAAATTGAGTCTTCTCTTCAAATCTTGTAAAGAGTGGGGTGTGCGTGATGAGAGGGTTAAGTATATGTCGGTATGATTTGGTTATTATGCTTCTTCTTCCCATTCAAAAATACTAATGGGCTTTGCTATTGGGTTTTAAAATTTTTTGAGCTTGACTATCCACACCTCCCAAAATTATCATATTATCTCTTACTTACCTCATAAACTATACTCCCTCCGTCGCATATTATAAGTAAAAGTCAATTTTTAGGTTCATTGAAGATCTAATGTATCTGGTCTATATATAGATCAGATGCATTAAATATTCAATGAATCTAAAAAATAATTTCTGCTTATAATATGGGACAAAGGGAATATTTATATTAAGCATAAGAATATATATATATATATATATATATAGTGGATAATGTATCTTTATTATTTTCAATCTATCAAGCTAATCTACAACTATCGTTCTTGATCGTACTTGACCAGAAGGGATCGTCTGCAACTTACAATATTTAGACGTAACGGCGGTTGAAGGAAAAGTGGGGGTACCTATAAGACACTCCAATATCAAAGTGAGGTTCAGAGCAAAATATAGGTAGAGAGTGGGAGAATAGAGAATGAATATATAACTCTCTAGTGAAAGAGGGTATTTATAGCCCCCGATGTTGTACCGAGATCCCCACACTAGGTCGGATGGGTGTTGTACCCTAAATTTTGCCCATAAGATTCCTCTGTCATCTCATATCAAGATTACACTAGGGTTTGACTCTTCACCCTATCCCTAGGTTTGCTCATGAGGAATCATCAAGCATTTTGATTTGTATATTGTGATCATATATGTCTTGTGTTGATTAGCTTTTAACTAACAAATACAATGAATGTTTGCTCTAATTAATGATACTATAGGTGAGGGCACAACATATTTCATCAGGTTGATTCATAGGTTCATGAGTTTATTTCCATGCATTCTTCAACAAAGCTTCTTTGAGATTCAAGTTTCATCATTAAGAGTGCTTTAGAGTAATATCATGACAAGGTCTACTATGATTCATCATGCCTCAATTTGTCAAAGGAAGTCAAAAGATGGAAGAATTGATTAAAGAAGGTTGACCTAATTGGACAAGTTCTTGATTCCTTGATCACAAGTGCATAACTCTCTCAATCCTTAATATTTGGAAGTGTTTATTGTTGCTATTGGTTCTTATTATCATCCACAATAACTTCTATTCACATGGAAAAAGTTATTATACAAGGAAGATTGTCAAAATTGAAAGGGGTTTTCAAGTCATTTTGGTGCTTTAAGAGCTAGGGTTTTAAACTTCTAAGGGTTATATCTTGTTCATATTTTGAGTTTTTAAAGTAATTCTAAAGATATGCTTCTCTTTAAATGGTTATCAACCAATCACTTCAAAGGTTTCAAACAAATTTTGTATGGAAGATTCCTAATGATGAAGAAAGATTACAAGTCCTCTAGATAGGCCATCAAATTCCCTTATGTGACTTCAAAGGATCATAACTTGGTTAATTTTTATCTTCTTGAGTCTATTCTTTTTCCATATTGATCTTAAGAATATGAACTTCAACTTTTCTTTTATGTACAAAGCTTGAAATGGTTGGAAGATGCCTTGAGAACTCAAAAGATTATAGGCCACCTCATGGATTTTCACCAATTTTACAAGGCCATAACTTTTTCAATACTTGGTATTTTTGAGTGATTCAAGTTTCACAATGCTCCTTGGGAAATCCACGTCAAACTAGTATCATTGATCAAAGCAATATTTTGAAGAAAGGCCTTGTTTAGAATCAAAATATTATAGGTCACTTTTGAATAAAAACTTAGAATTTTTCTAAGTACAAAAAGTTAGCATCTTTTTCTTAACTTTGACCAAACACAACTTCTATCTCAAGCATCCATTTGATCTCACTCTTGGCACTTTGCAAAGATTGTGACTTTATCTTTCACATGCTTCAAGAATTATACCCTAAGACCATTTGAGTTGTGAATACCATTGATTCAAAGTTGGTACCTTGAAATTGAAGTTTCACTCCAAGTCAAATTGCAATTTCTATAATGTGGCTTCTAATCACCAAATTACCACGTGTTTTCAACTTAAACATGATTAGCAAATATGTTTGAATCATTTATAGTGTTAAAATGCATCATTTGGATGAGTTTTGATGCACATGTGGTCACACTTTCTTCATGATCACAAGTGTGCATGAATTCAAGTGAAATTCCATCATTCACCCCCTCCTCTTGGTTCTATTCACTTCTCTTATAAATACATGCTTTAATCCACTCATTTTTGCAAGCTTGAACAACCAAAATCACCTTGTCAAACTCTCTTCATAACTCACAATTCTGCAACTTCGAATTTGGTTTTACAACCTTCTTCATTCCATTTTCTTTGCTAATTCTTCATCCTTAAACTTCACTAAAGCAATATATAAGAAGAACCAAGCCTTGAAGCATCCTAAATCGTGTTAGCAAAGTCAAGTTTTAAAGCTCTGAATTTGAACTTCAATAGGTTATTCTGATTATGTGTTTTGTCTGTGATTGAGAATTCATCTGTATACAGTCGTTACTCTACCAAGATTTTATGAAGACTTAATGCATTTGAAGCTTGGTTTTCTTAAGAGGTTTATTATCTTTGCTTGTTTGGTTTCAGTCCAAAGTATGGGAATTCTACATTGACTCATTGTGTCAAGTGTTGGCTTCTTGTTGGTTAGATGGTTCTTTTTCCTAGATTTTACCTTATGCTTTAGGATAGCCCCTTCATCTCCTCCCATCTTCTTTAATTTCAAAATTCTTCTCCCTCCTTTTCAAAATTATTCTTGTTTTCCAAACTTGAATCGTTTTCACAATAAACTTGGACTCACGTCCATGCATTTTTAAAAATATTTTCTTAATTAAACTTTAATCAACTTAATCATGCTTTAATATTTTTTGTGAGAAGGCTAAAAGTCAATCAATCTCATTCAAACTATTTTTCCAATTTGGCTTTTTTACCTTAAACCTTTTCTCAAAAGATTAGACTCTTGTCAATCCTTGTAGTGATGCGAATGACTATACTTCTATGATATGTAGTGAAGTGAGATATTTTCCACTTGGGTGTTGAGCGAGGATTTGTTGATTTTAAAATCCAAGTTATATCCTCCACTTTGAGATGACGTAAATTCTCCTTTCTCATAATCGTGGGTAGTAAGTATGTTCTTTCACTCAGATAAGGTGATGATGTCTCGTCTCTTAAATTTAACCAACACACTTGTGTTTTAAATTTTTTAAAGGTGAACTACGAGTACCTTGATCCCCTATTATACGGAAGGTGGTACATAGGCACTAAAGATTCGCAACCACGACGGGTGCAAAAATTGTAAAAAAATATTCTTTTCTCATCCCCACAATCTATTTTTGTATACAACTCTTATAGCCAAAATACATAAATTTTCAAAGAGGTTTATGCGGAGTACCGTAGATGTTTAGGGTGCTAATACCTTCATGTGATACGGTGGGAGAACTGACTTGTTTTTTTTGCGTTTTATCTCAAATGTTGCGGTTAGCAAGAGTCGCCACCGACTTTTCTTTTATCCAAAAGAAAAGGTGAAAAAGCATAGGAAAGACCTTTGAGATTATTTCTTGAGTTCGGGGGTAGATTATGAAAAGAGAAGGTATTAGTACCCTTTTCATCCATGGTTTCCCATGGGCTCTTAGTTATTTTCTATGTCACTTACTTTTGTTTGAAAAATATGCTTTGTGTGGTTTTTGAAAGTATTTTGAAAAGGCGTCATCGTTTAGGCAAACTTTGTAATGATTCTCGTTCGTAAGAATGTATACAAAGTATTGATCTTTTGAGAATGTTTCAAATTTGAAAGATGTTTTTGAAAGTGTTGGTGTTGGTTTTGAAAATAGCAAGGATGTTTTGGTTTTGAAATTGAACAAGTAACTAGGAACATTCTACCTTCTCAAAAGTCTTTCATGTTTGTTTCCTCTTTCCTTTGACATTGTTATCTTACCATTGATTTGGTAAGTAACCCTATCTTTGGATGTGAGCGGGACGGGCGTGGGTCATCGTATAACCATGATTAGCAATGTTGCAAGGTATCTTAGCATCTTTCTTTAGGGACTAAGATCATTTTGAAAGGCATCATAGATAGCGTCATCGAGGGACTATGATCTTTTGTTCGTTTATTTTTGCTAAGATACCTCACATGCGTAACATGGCCATTTTGTAAGGCAACCAAGTGGATTTTACCCTAGGGGTGCTTGTGTGCAAGTGTGTTGATTTTCATGCTTTATTTAGTCTTTGATTAGGGCTTGCTACTTGATTGGTTTTAATCTTTCCATACAAAACCCTAATTATTAGCATTTGTATATAAAGCGATAAATTGTGGAATTTAAAATTACTACGCTATTACAATACTTGTGGGAGGGGGGTGTACAAATTACAAATGGGGATTGCTAGAAAATAAACCTAATTATCTATTACAACAATATTGAACTTGGATAATGTACAAAAAATGAATAAATATACAAGAATGTAAAATGGAAAGAAAATGGACTTTTGTTTGGATTTTTTTAGGAAAAAGGGTTTTGTTTTAACCTAATTAACTAAAAGAAAAATAATTAATTAAGTTAGTAAAAAGTAAACCTAAATTTACTAGGAAAAGAATTTAAATAAAACCCCAATCTAAATATTATTTGATTGAAAAGAAATTAAGTTTGTAAGAAGA